AGCGTGATGAACTGAGGGGACAACTTCGCATTGTGCTGCCGTGTCCTTCACACATGGTTACTGAGGCCTTAGTTGTGTGCTTGATCATGTTGGATGGACTCTGCTCACAAATAAGCCATTAATCTACTCTCCTAGGAGACTTTTTTTCTTTTTTTTTTCTTCTTTGTGGCACATTTCACGATTAAACCACGCAATGTCCATTGGTGTTTTGCATAATTAGGCCACTTATATCAAATGCAGGCAGATTCTAATGGAGCGCGAAGGGGACATATTTACTTTAATTACTGTTCTCAGTAGCTCTACCTCATCCCCCCTCTCTTCATCCCATGCTCATCTACTCCCTTCCCCTGGAGATTGCAGCAGCAATGTTCAGGGGAAAAAGGATTGAAGAAGACTGTGTTCCCACCAAAGGTCACCCCCTCTCCCTTCAGTGAAGTTTAGATAGCATTTGGCCTTGTAGCCCTTTTATATTTCAGTGTTACTCAGCTAGAATCAAAGGGAGCACTCCAATAAAAAAAAAAATAATAAAAATACTCCGTGTTTTACAATCTGTACAAGTTGAGATTTGTTGAAAAGTTGTGTGTGTAAGTCAGTTAAAATGTGTGTGTGTGTATGAGTGTGTATTGGTCAAATGTGCATGGACACATGTGGGCTTTATTTACCGGAAGCTTTTAGAGTTGTCCGTCAATAACAGCAGAGTCCAAAATAAAACCTCCAAAGAGCACTCTAGCACCCCGCGCGCGCCGTGGTGCGTTTTGTGCTTTCACATAGAAAACGGCCAGATAAGTAGAATGTGAGGGGGTGACTGAAGCCTCGAAGGTCCACAATAGAAGGTCTGTTTGCCAACTGATTGTTGGAGCTACAGAACTATAGCAGAATCTTTAAACTGATAAGACTAAACTGGTGGCGGCATTCACTTGAACTGTTTAAGGCTTTTTTTTATTTTTGTGTATTGGCTGTTAAACTACACTATTTCTAAAACCCTTTAGTTTTGGTGACTTGACTTTGAAACTTCATGCAGAGCTCTGAGAGTTCAGAGGTAGAAGAGGGACAGGAAGTGAGAGGAAGACTTTGAATAAGAGATAAGGCTGAAGAACGAAAGCAAGAAACCACTCTTTACTGATGACTGGCATTCCTCATTAGTGTCATCATTAGACTTTGGAGCTTGTCATACGTCGCACTTTAACTAGATTCTATCATAAAGGTCCGTCAGTGAAATGGAAGTTGGTGGCAGAGTGATGGCAGGTCTAAAAAGGAAACTCTGCATGCAGAAACTTTCTTGAGAGAGAATCAGGAGGTTAGCATAGGGTGGGCTTTTTGAAAGGATAATTGATTGTCTCAGATGATGGACATGACAGGCTCCATCTGTACTGCTCATAAAGAGGAGAGCTCAAGAAGGTGCATGCAGATTGAGCATCCCTCGTTATCCTCTACAGAGGATGTTAAGGCTTTGATGAGTTATAGCTGGTAATATGTAGGACTCAAAGAAATGAAAAAGAAACACTGCTACTGAATATCTGTGAGTGTCCGCTCCCATCACCTGTTGCTGTGTGGCTGAATAAGAAACTGCACAGAAATACAAAGTATTCATCTTGAAAAAATAAACAAAAGCAATGTCAATGAGCTGTCTTTGGACTGGGTAAAGAAAGTAAAAAATATGGTTGTCAGGTATGCGTGTATGTTTTTGTGTATGCATGTGGCACATCGAAGGTCAGCTTTTCTATCAGTAACAGGACACCATAGCAACCCTGTGTCCTCAGCACCACACGTTTTACTTTATTTTTCCTAGACACTGTGACCTCCCTTTTTTCTTTATCTGTCTATTCCTCTGTCTACAATGGCTTAAACAGAAACTTTACCCGTCTGTTGGTCACAGCGCCCATAAATGGCCACGACAACAAATCTTCCGCCGGACACACCCAGGTGGCAGTCCAGGATTTAAACTGTGCGTACAACCGTCAACCTCTGGTGAGAAGGAGCGAGCGCAGTGAGAAAACATCCATGTGGGAGAGTAAATGGTGGATTAAGTTGGGTAAATTCCATTATTTAAAAGGTAAATAAGCACTTTCACAGATTCAGAGGGCAAGAAACTTTGGGGAAGAAAAAAAAAAAGTTGAGAAGACGGTTAAACAAATGTGCATCTAAGAAGAAATGTGCAGGGGATAGGGGAAAAAAAAGGAGAACGTGAACGGGAGAGGAATCCCCTGCACCTGCAGCTCCCAGCTGCACTGTGCTACTTCAGAACCATGGCTCCACCTGGAGAGATGGATCTGTTTGGAAAACAGGAATTTATTATCAGGAATGAGACTGCTGGTGGTGCCCATGTGCGCTCTGGCATGGTGGAACTAAGGTAAGTGGGGCAGCTTATTACCAGCTGTGACAGCATGGCTGGTAATACACACTTGGCTGCCAAGCGAGCATCATCATGCCAAAGTGGGCTCCTAGAGACATCTTTTGTACAAGGAACAACAATAAAGGCATATACATTTGAGTACCTCAGCAGATGTTTAGATTAGTGTCACAACTGTTGAAGATAAAAATCAAAAAGAAGGGAAAATCCTGTTGAGATCAAACATTGTGATATATTTTAAGGATGAGTACATGACCTGAGAGTACTCGTGGGTTGGAAAATGAATTTGTTTCATCACAGCTGGTGCGATCTTGTCACAAGATGGCATCATGTTGTGGAGAGGCATTTGGCTTCCTACCTAAACATGTTGAAATGAGAAAACCTCATTTGAGCCCACACACAATATGGTAAAGATATGATGTTCCTGTGATTCTACAAGGGGTGGCGACAGGTTTGTAATTCCAGTGTGCTTGATGAGTCAGGTGGGAGAAATCTGCGTCTGAAGGTTGCATGTGCAGATGGGGAGAAAATTGTGGGTGTCCTTACAGCTTATCAAATCACCGCTTCGTTTTTCTTTACAGAGATAAGCAACCGCCTAATGCAAACCTTTGATAAAACATGTGAAAACAAATGATTACTTTATCATTTTCTTAAATATATCCTAAATAGTATAGAGACCTTAATCAGTATCTGAGGTGCATTTAAACTTTTTATTAGCTAGTCAGCTTGTTTAAAGGGAGCACACGTGCCACTGGGTAGTTTGATGTGTGCGTCAGAGAAAGCAAAGAAGAGCTGTCTGGGGAGGGTTTTTTTTGTTGTTGTTTTGTTTGTTTGTTTGTTTGTTTGTTTGTTTGTTTTTTTACCCCTCACAACACTTTTTAAATTAATACATTTTATTGTATACCAGCAATCAAGCACCATGACAAGACTGAAAAGCTGATGAGTTGAAAGATGGTTTAAGATGTTTATTTACGGTTCATATGTTATATCATTTATACGCAATAATTAAAAATCACAACTAATAGTATAATCCAGATTAAAAGGCAGATTGCACCGATATTTATTTATATATTTACCTCTGTGTTCTTCTTAGATCGAAACTTCACATTCACTTTCTTTTCTTCATTTTTATTAAGCACTTGTTTTGAATGCAACTTAACAGTCTCTTTCTCAGAACCTCGGCAGTGAGTCTACTTAATAACAGTCCCCCCCACCACCACCACCACCACCACCACCCCTTGGGATTTGTGTATGTAAAGTGTTTGTGTGTGTGTGTGCATGTGAGCAGAAAGGGGGCAGGTTCTAATCAATAAAACAGGGAGTTAAATAATTTCTTTAGAGGCTGCTATTAGCCTGAATCACGTTTGGAATGAACCTCAACGTGGAAATGAACCAAATGCTTATCCAATTAAAAGTGAATAATCCACAGCAGGAAGTGTGCAGCAAACCTACACAGGTCAGAGAAGAAGCACCAAATGAGCTCAGCTGTGTCTGCTCTCGCTCAGTGCAGCCGGATGAGAGACGGAGTGAAGAGAGAAGCAGCACAACAATGAACAGTTTGCTAAATGAGCTGTTTGTCTGCCATGCTTCAGGGCTCTCCTATTGTTGATGCATAAAGAAATAACTAAGTTGTTTCAAAATTAGCTGCTGCTCAACGCGTCGCAGCATCATTAAAGTGTAAAACAACACATTCTGAATAGATGGAAAGCGTCGCTGCTAATTAGGGATGCTTATTGAGGAGATCTGTTTGTCAGGATGACAGCAGGTGGGAGAAGGAGTGCATCCCCCTGCAGGCTGGTTTCATCAGGTGAGACTTTCTGGAGACTGGGGGAGGGGAGGGGAGGGGAGGGGGGGAGGCATTTCATCCACAATGTGACAAGAAGGGAAAGTCTGTACTCCAGAAGTTCTTCTGGAGAGCTGATAGGAGAGCAGCTGTTCTGACCTCACTGTCTGCTCATGTTAGATCACACAGGCTTGTGAAGTCAGCACGTGCTTCCATTGAACGAAGGACTGAGCTTTAAATTCTCACATAAACCCCGAAAATAACAGAGTTGGTTTTCAAGCTCTGTGACTCCCCAGTTTTCTGGTTTCCCCTCCTCTCCCTCCATCTCTCTCTCTCTCTCTCTCTCTCTCTCTCTTCCAAAGAATTGCTCAAGTTGGTGTCTGAGCGGAATATAGATGCGGGTGGAGACAAGAGCAGGAGCCGTGATTTGCACACAGACATGAGAAGAAATCCCCCGCTCTCCTCCTTTCAGCACCAGCATCCCCTCCTCTTTCTCCATCCTGTTTCTCTCTCTCTTTCTCTCATGCTGTCTTTTTTTTTTTTTTGGACAACACGTGAAAGACATTCCCAAAGAGAACCAGCGCCAATGCACACGTTCTCGTGTTACCTCCTACAAAAAAAAAAAAAAAAAAAATCAAATCAAAGTGAGCTGAGCTGGGACTGATGAGGACTGAAAGTTGCTCTGACGCGGAACGGATGCGATCCGCTGGAACGCAGGTGGAGGAGACACGGGGATCTGAAGAGTCTATAAACTTGACAATCAAGCCAAACAGCGTAAAATAAAAATAAAATAAGATAAAAACAAGTGTAAAAGAGTCCGTATCCAACCACAGGCGCGCGCTACAGAGAGCGTCTCCTCGGTCTTACCTGGTGGTGGACGAGGACAGCCAGAAGGATGCGGACTCCAGTCTCCATGCTCGGTTCGGTTGCTTTCGGTGGGGAAATACAAATAAGCTTCACGACAGGCTGTTAGAAGCTGGATCAGCTCTGCTCATAATTCCACTGTCCAGCCGCCGGAGAGAGAGCAACTTCCCCCCCACCCCACAAAAAAAACACGCACACAGAACTGCGGTGCGATCAGCAGAGAGCGCTGGATATGAAGGCGAGACCACGACCAATAGATTTATGACAGAGGAGAGAGGGAGGTGAAGCAGGGGGGAGAGAGACAGGGGGGGGGGGGGGGGGGGTGGGGGGTTAGAAGAGGAAGTTCGTTTCAATCTAAGGGTCAGCATGCTCATTTTTGACTCTGTCCAGACAGAGACACCCAGTGAAACCAGTTTGTGGATGATCCGGCAGCAGCAGGTTATGGATTCATTAAGGCATCGCGCGGGTTATCAGCTTTGTTTGTTTGTTTGTTTGTTTGTTTGTTTGTTTCTCACCCCACCGCATCACGTGTCCGGTGGTGACTTCTGTAATCGGTCTGTTTACGGTCTCAGTCGTCCTGACGCGCGTGAGCGGAGCGCGCTATGGAACGCTTATAATTCAGTGCGCGGATGTGCGCAGAGGTGTGTACCTGCTGGGCACCCCCAGAGGCGCAACACACTTTTAACTACCAACATCACATAAAGTCCTGAGACTACAGCAGTGTGTTAAATGTGTTCCTGCGTGCACTGTCCTAAATACTCATCTACAATTATTTGAAACACTTGTTTATTTAGTAAAACAAACAAACAAAAACAATGTGTGATAGCCTACTCCTTCAACAAAACTCAAGTTCTAGCATTCCTTTTAGGGATGCACATTTCCCACTGCCCTTCATGCCAGGGTTTTAAACGAAATTGTATCTTCTAAGAGACAGAATTGTAATTGTTTTGGTCAAACCTAATAAATGAAATCATGGGATTTTATCACATCTTGTGTCTGTTAGCGCTGGAAGCCCATGTCAATTGAGTCTCAGCTCAGCCAAATTTATCTCAACATGTGTTAGCTAACATCAATTAGCTGTGGTGGCCATCTTGAACTGCGGTGACTAAAAGGTAATGTGCATCCTGCTATGATTCATGGGACATTTTGCTAAAATGGTTGATGCCAAGCGCTAATGCTAAAGTTTTATAGTATTGTGCAACACTGTGCTTTGGATGTGTGATGGGGATGATGACCAGCTGCCAGCACATCACATTTGAGCTCAGTATCTGTGAAACTGGCTGAGCTACAGGAATTTTTGTGTTGCTCAAAGTTCATTAGCTGTGACACTCATCTTGAAATGGATTGACCTCGAAAGGAAATCAATAGATGTGCATCCACTGTCTGAAAGTTTTATTAAAATCCACCCATATGTTTGTGAGACATATAGCTAATGCTGCACACACAAAGACATGGGCAGAGACGTTATCGTTATCATGCTTTGCTTTTTTTTTCTTTTTTTTTGGCTGATATTGAATTGGACACAATATTTAAACATTTTTTGTAATAGTAAACTAATTTAAAAAAAGTCACTATTGTTGACTATAAAACAAAGTATTATGCTTAAATTACTCAAAAACATTGACAAGTTTTTTTTTAATTAAATCCAGTTTGTTTTTTTGAGTGATATGTTCAATGAGGGTACGGTGGTGCAGTTGGTAGAGTTGTTGCCTCAGAGAGAAGGACGCCAGATCAAATCCCATCATGGGGCCTTTCTGGGTGGAGTTTGCATGTCCCTTTGTGCACATGTGAGCTTCCTTCAGATACTCCAGTTTCCTCCCACAGACCAAAAACGTGCATGTTAAACTGATTAGTAACTTTAAATTACCCCTAGGTGTGAGTGAGAGAGTGAATGGTTGTTTGTTTCATTTGTCTCTGTGATGGACTGGAGACCTGTCCAGGGTGTACCTGGCCTCTCACACAGTGACAGCTGGGCACCAGTGACCCCCGCCATCCAAAAAGGAAGAAGGCAGTAAAGATAATGGATGGATGGAGTTTCACTGCCTTCAAGATTTGGGTCACATTTGGCCCCTAATTCATTCCCATGTTTAGAGCAGACCAGGTTGATTCATTTTGTTACTGTCAAAAGAATTTCACACAGAGCATAATATAGGCTATTCACCCCCCCCCCCCCCCCCCGTCCTCATGTCTGCAAGCATACCAAAAATCAACACCCGTTTTCAAATTGTATTTTTTCCTGAAGTCCTTCGTTTGATATACGTGTCAGAGTTATTGAGAGATCCAGAAACAGGGCGATGACTCAGGAGGGAATTATTTATTGCAGCCGATTTGAGCTGAACGATGATTTACCTGAACTTTGAGGGAGATGGCAATCAGCTTTAGGAAACGAGAAGAGTTGCAGGATGAAAGGGGTTAGGGTGCACACTGGTGCCGTCCTGGAGCAAGAAGTAGAACACGGACCAGACGGTCTGCTGAATACAACACCCCCAGAAACCAAACCAATGAGCGCTGATTGTGCGTTGTAACACAGGTTGTGATATACTGTGGCGGTGGAATGAGCGGCCAAGGATATACTGCTGTGCTTGATTAGTGGATAGGCTTCAGGTGTGCAGACTGATTGTGGATCAGGAGATGATTGGAGCTCAATGCACACACACACACACACACACACACACACAAGCTCAAAATGGCAATTTTGGTGTCATAAGAATTTCAAGAGGAAGAAAAAACTCACGAAGGAAAAGCTTAGTTAAAATTCTTTAGATGTCAAGCTGCAAAACAAGTTCAGCAGAAACTTTAAAAACATGTTCTATATAATTTCATAAAGTATAAAGAAATAACTGTATAATCAATCAGTCATAACAGTACAACGAAATTCTATGATAGGCTTTATCATACAGAAGGAGTCCTTTATGGAAAATGTGTGGAGAAATGTACACGTTTTCAAATTACTAAAAAATGTTTCATGAAGCGTTTATTAAGCTCCAACTGACAATCTACTTGAGACAGTCTGATTTAAGAAGTTCAGCAAGCGCAGGCAGCTTTATGGCTCCCACACCTGAAACATAACTATAATTGGTAATGTTTATTGTTAAAAGTCCTGGACATTTGTATTTTGTTCACAATCAAATAACTGGATTATAAATTTGCTATTAATTAAGCAAATGGGAATCTAATGTATGCTCTTTATTAGTTGACCTAAATCAAATTCTATTGTAGATTGCTGAATTTTGCTTTTATGTTACCACCTCAACCTTTCTTACAATATTTTTAACCTGAATATATTTATGTAAATATTTAGTAAACATAGCCTCCAGCAACAACAACATATTGTCTGAGGAACATTTGTTCAAATTACCTTCTCGAAAGTAAAAAAGCAAATAAGAAATATGATTTTTTTTTTTTTTTCAGAAATAAAAGAACAATTTTAACTCTTGTGTGATCCTCTATGTGACTCCAGGCTTACTTGTGGTTCATTGAATTTCTAAAAGTAGAACAGTGGGGGGGGGGGGGGTACTGCATTCAGTATTCAGGCTTCCTATTTCTGAAACCCATTTAAGCTTCCGTTCATGAGGCTGACACCATATCTACTTTTAAGATATCCGTTTTGATAAATCCTATAGTATATTAGCTTTGGTTTCCTGAGCTATCCCTTAGTTATGTGCTATAGGCTTAGACTGCTGGAAAAAAAAGCTGACCACATTGTTTTTATTCATTTATTCATTCATTTAAAAGCAACAAAATAAACAAAACAAATTCATCAAATTGAAAAAAAAAAAAATTGAATGAAAATGTCCTTATTCTGCTGTCTCAACTTTTTAGTCTTCATCTTTATGCACACAATTATGGCTGCCATCAATAATACAAACAACACCTGGTCCAATCCTCCTGATTGTCTCCTTCCTGTCCTCTCAAGCCCCAGCCGGTTGAAACCAATGGCCATCCATATGGTGGCCCTAAGGTTTAAATGAACATTTGACAAAACACAACAAAAACAAGAAAATCACAACAACATTTGAAAAACACAGAATTACATTTGAAAAAAATGGAAATACATTTGAAAAAACAGAATCACGTTAGCTTAAACAGAATTGCATTAAGCCAAAGCGGAAGTGGCCGAAGCGGAAGTGACTCAAATCACATTAGAAAAAACGGAATTACATTAAGCCAAACAGGAAGTTTATTTTTATTTTTTTTTACTTTATTAACAGCATAAATAATGCCACACAAGTCAAACTAAAATGTAAAACTGAAATGTCTGTCAACAAAACTTCATTACCTTGAAGATCCTTCTGAGTTTTTCCAGCACCATATCTTCTTTAAGCTTGAACAAAACAGTTTCTAGAGGATAAAGGATAGCCTGCTAAATGTACCTCTGTTGTATGTGCAATGTATATGGTTCTGTTGTTTGGTTTTATGCTGTTCGTAAAGTAAAAAAAAAAAAAAAAAAAACTTCCTGTTTGGCTTAATGTAATTCAATTTTTTTCAAATGTGTTTTTGTTTTTTTCAAAAGTAATTCAGTTTTTTCTAATGTGATTTGGGCCACTTCCGCTTTAGCTTAGTGTAATTCCGTTTTTTTCAAATGTTGTGATTTTGTTGTGTTTTTTTGCAAATGTAATTCAGTTTTTTTCAAATGTTGTTCATTTACACCTTAGGGCCACCATACGTCCATCCTGTTGCTTCCTGTCAAAGAGAGTTATAACCACCAACATGCTGCTCAGGCTGGTGGATCATGACAAAATAAAGATTCAACAAAATATGTGGGCTTTTGCTAATTGGCTAAATGGCTTTTATTTTTACAGAAAAAAAAAAAGAACAGAAAAATCACTGTAATGCCACTCTTACTGGTGATATCTAACTTATCTATGCAACAATTTTCAGTCAGATCATCTGGACTGAAAATTGTTGGATTGTATACCTGGATTATTGAGCATGGACTTTGTTAACTTATCTGTGCTGCTGAATATCCGTGCTGCTCTTTTGCCTTTATGCTGCTGTACTCACCACAGGCTCATGTTCAGGCTGCTGTTTAAGATAACATATTATTTTAC